TCAAATCACTGATCTAGAACAAATAACATGGCTTGCGAGTACTTAACAATTAATTAAATCTAACTGTACTAAGAGCCCATTCAAGGAATCTTTGCTTCAGCTCTGTTGAGTGAAATGTCAGAATTTTATTCAGATTTGACTTGGCAGTAATTAGCACTGAGGATGAGGGTGTGTTTTGCTGATCACGCTTGTTAGAGTCATCTCTACAAGGCTTGTCTGGTCCATATTTTGTTGGGCACCGTTTTACACTACTGTACACAACCATAATGGATTTAATTTTATTCTTATATACGTGCAAATACAAGGGTTGCCAGCTTGTTTAATTCTTTGCAGCCTGAAGTGTGGAACCCATAGACATCAGGTAATGCGGTCTTTCTTTGCTTGAGATGCAGGGCCTTTTTTACAGCTGCCTTTGGCTGCTGCTTGTGTGTGAGTATCTCTGCTCTGAGTTTTGTATTTAATACCTGAAAAGCTGCACTATTGAGATCAGGCGAAGACTTGCCATTCAAGGATATCTCATTTCTTTGCTTTGACAAACTCTCGGTTGCTTTTACAGTTTGCTTTGGGTCATTTTCCGTTTGTGCTGTGAAACTCTGCCCGATGGGTTTTGTAGCATCTGTCTGAATCTGAGCAGAGAGTGTAGCCCCGTACACTTCACAGTCAATCCTGCAGCTTCACTCAGCAATCACATCACCAACAAAGTGTCCTGGTTCCCCTGCCAGGCATATGTTTCTACGTGGTATTCTTTGGATCATGACCTTTTCTCTAATGCTCAATACTTTTGTCTTCTATTAGTAAGTAAAGTTACATTTTATTTATATAGCACCTTTTCAGATTAAATCACAAAGTGCTTCACAGAGGCTCAAAAATACATCATCCAATGTCAACCAAAACCAATTTTAAAAAGATAAGTCTTTAACTGCTTCTTAAAAGAAATGACTGAGTCCACAGATCTCAAACTCAATGGCAGAGAGTTCCAGAGTCTGGGAGCCACAGATACAAACCCTCTGTCACCTTTAGTTTTTAACCTTGTATGCTGGACAGCCAGCAGGCCTTGGTCACAAGACCTCAAGACCTTTTTTCTTCTATTATGTTAGTACAGGTTAATCTTGGTTTCATCTTTTATCATCTAGATGTTTTCTGTCAAACTCTAATCCGGCCTTCCTGTTCCTCAGTGTAACTGTGTGAACCTTATTGTAAATTCTCTCCATTCATGAAGGTGTTTCTTGATTGTAGTCCTCGATAACAATACTCCTACCTCCTTAAGAGTATCCTTAATTTTGTTAGGTGCTATAAAGTTGTTTCTTTAGCCATGGAAATAATTCTGCAATCACCCTCTGTGTTTTTTCTGAGCATTTATTCTTTATTAACGGCATAAAAGATTGCTGATTTAGCCAATCCTGAAGTTTTGCTCTCTCTCTGAGAGGATAATTTTGCTGTTTCAGTGACGATGTCTTTCACTTGCACCGACATCTATTTGAGACTCATATTTAAAATTTCGGTGAAAAGCTACGAAATACAAATTCAACACTTCAGATATTCTATCTGCTTCATTTATTATGAAATAACAAGTGAACGTGCCTCACCCGGCCATGAAACCGCTCGTCAATCAAATGTAGAACTAACTGTGAGCCACTGAAAATGAGGGACTGTGTATAAACCGTAACTGCTGAACTGTTAATGCAACATTTTTGTTAAACCCTTTGAATTAAGGCTAAAAGTCTGCACTTCTATCACCTCTGGATGTTTCATTTAAAATCAACTGTGAAGGTGTGCACAGGGAAAACTACAAAAACTGTGCCTTTGCAGATAGTATAATGATATTTGTGTATATATCAGCAAAAACAGATTAAATGCAATTCAAAATGAATGATCCACTATGATTATTATACATTTGTGCTCAGTTTCACTTCCAGATCCTGTCAGCACTTAACGCTTCACCGATATGTGCACTTCACAGATGCACACATCTTTCTTGCTGCATCTGCAAGCGTGAAATACGATAGTTTCCTCGCTGTTATATATGAAAGTATTGACAGAGATAGCTGAGAAAAATGCCCAGAGAGAGCAGGAGACGGAGCATTTTGTGTGGGAGGAAGTCATGGAGATACATTATGGCAAGAACAAAAAGGGAAAAGAAGAGAAAGTGAAAAGAAAAGAAAAGAACAAGAAAAAATCATGCTGAATCTTCTGTCACGCTTAAATCCATCTGTCATCACATCGTATTGACACACCAGGACAGATGCTCTCTCAATGCAATACTCTCAGAAACAGACACACACGCCACAAAGCAAACAAATCATTACACCAACCCAGCTTCACAGGAATAACGATACAAATCTTGCCTCTTTCCAGCATTAAAAAAAGATTTTTTAATGTCTCTGTATGTTGTTGAAATGAGGTCACAAGTCGCCTGCTAGAACGCCACTGCTGTTCTTATAAAATAATCTGAACTGATGAGAAATTGCCGGGCTACATCAGCGCGGAGGCGTACTGACTCACTCTATTCTGCAGCTTATTCATCACAAATTTTATAGGACAATATAAAACCTCATTTGGTCACCCCGGCTTCAACGGTGTCCATTAAACTTTCTAATTGACCAAAACAAATTCCCGCTCTCTCCCTCCCCTCTCTCCTTTCTTCCTCTCTTATTCCCCGACTGTATTCTAACAGTGAAGTGTGCTTTTATTTAATTTGCTGTCTTCAGCAAGTAAAATTCAATCAGGATTCTTTGTGCTGGCTCAACTCACCCCTCATTACATCCAACTGCCCCTGATCCACGTTACATTTCTGTGGTCGCAGGGTTAAACGCAGATGAGGGCAGTGACTCGAAAATGCCCCGTGTCTCTCGCTGTGAATAGAGGATGAAGCACCAGAGGAAGCAAGAACGAGCGAGACAAAGCACAGCGGGCCTTCCAGGTGTTGTTCCTTAGCAAATGAGTAACCGTAAATCTGTCAGATGGAAATGTTGTGGCAGCACTCAGCTAATGGATTTCTCTGCTGGTATACCTTCGACAAAGAGCCTGCACCACCACTCTGACATTAGCATGAAATGTTTAACCAAAGACAATCAAATGAGGAGGAAACCCCTCAAATGTGACTCAACCTTTGAGACACTTGGACTCATCAGATGCACCTCGTCCCCTGTTCCTGCAGCTGCTCCTGCTTATTGCTTAATGGGAGTTCAAAGCACTTTAGCTGGAAAAAAGGAAACTCAGTGCCTTCCCAGAAGGAATCTGTAGCGTAAGCAGTCTGCAGAACTCTTAACACCTTCCAATAAAATGTTAAATCTAGTAGGGAAGCTTTGTATAACTCCGACAAGATGATTGCTCTGCCCTGTCAGATGTTTTCTGTGTTAACGCTGCAGCTTTGTGAGCGCACAGAAAACCAGCACTTTGGGAGGTCTCTCTTTCTCGTTGTGCTTTTGTTGTCTCCTGCTTGGCTTGATCTCATTTTCTCAGTGGCACTTTCGCCGGCGGTAGATAACCGCAGCTGTTCTTGGGAGGCCTATCTGTGACACCGACAGGGAGGGAAGGAGAGAAACAGTCAGCAGCAGCAAATCAATGGCTTTGCTGTGGTGACCTTGGAGATTTCGGTCTTTCCAATGAGGTCACAGTGGACAGGAGTCAAACACGTGCCTCGCGTCAGCAGAGACTTGCAGTGGGATGCGCCGTTTCAAGCACCGCACACATGCATACGAAGAGAGGGACGCATTATATTCAGCAACTTAATGGGCTGGGAAAAATGACAAAGAGGACTTTAACAAGGGGATCATTTGTCTCGAGGGATAGAGTCACATTTTTAAGGCGATATTAAAGCAGTTCTCACATGCTCATGTGTAGATTGGAAGGATTTCAGCTGCTGTAACAGATCCTACTCTCCACATTTGGCCACTAAGAGGGAAGGGAAAGCGGAGAGCTGATGTCTTTCCAATAAAGAGAGGATTTAATGCGATTTCACTCTAAGTGTCAAGGGCCAAAATACACACTTCTCATTCCATGTAAAAAAATAACTAAAACAATGCTTAATATGTCTGATTCACACAAGGTAAGCGGAATAATAACACAAAGAGGATTTAAAAGATTATCCCCTAGACTGATTCAGACAGTTGAAGAAGCAGGTGAAGCAGCTCTCCCACATCCTTAGTTCTGGTTTTTTGTTCTTATTTTTTACTGGCTGTGTTTTTGAAAACAGAGGTTCAGAAGTCTGTGGTGTTTTGAAGCCTCTGTGGGTCTCCTCCTTGGTTGTGACTGTTTAACAAAGGATCTGTAAGGCGGGAGGGTGAAAAAAGTTAGAGGATCTAATAATGCTTTCAGTATGGCCACGAGGACTGTTTCAAGCACCTCCGATTCTTGTCAAGAAATAAAGAAAGCCAAAAATCTGCTCCAAAAAAGTGACTGCAAAGCCGCAGCATTCACAGTGCTTTTTCATCTTGCTATGATCCTGCGACCAGATGTGCCTCCATCTAATGAGGGGTGGCATCTGACCTGTGGTCAGGAATAAAAGGGCAGTCTGCTCTATTTTTAAAAAGGGAGTTTTAACCAGGTGCTGTGGCCATGCCTGAAGCACAATGCTGCAGAATCAACACAAATATCAGCAGCAGCACTGCTGTTTCTTAGAAGTGTGTAGAAGACATGTTATGATTAACACATAACAATATGCAAGTTTGCATATTGCAAGTTTGCATATTGTCTTCATAAACGGGCTGAAAGACAGACAAAGAGAGTTTAAAAACGCCAAAGTGAAGCTCTTAGGCTTTAAGTCGGCCAGGTCTCCATAGCAACTAGTAGACTAGGGACATCTGATACTGAAAGAGGAATAAATAAAATTGGTGTTTTTGCCTTTGAGGGATTTTAGCGGCTGTGAACAGACGGGCACTTGAAAGATTAAGCAGTGATTAAATAAATGAGAAGCGGGTTCAATCAGAGAATGGACCCCCTCCTCTCTAAGCTTGTCTAAATCCTCCTCTGATAAAGTTCCCGAGACAGAGACGTGATACCTGACTGGAGCTTGATGGAAAAGAGGAGATCGGCGGGACGTCCAAAATCTTCAGCTCGTACATGTTCCCGTTCAGTATGACGGAGGGTCTGTACACATATCTGGTCCTGGTCGGCGTGTACACCTCCGAGAAGTCGTTATAGATGAACTGGCGGATTATAGAAGTTTTCCCCACTCCGGGAGCACCGATCACTGCGATACTCAGCGTCTCCACCATTCCTGGAGCCCGAGTTCAGCACCATGGACAGCGGCGACAACAACGGCAGATGTGGTAGTCCAGAAACACAGCTGGCCGCCGCTTTTTAAAAAATAAATCTTTATTTTGTCTTTTTTCTTTTCTTTTCTTTTCTTGCTGTTTCTCTGGTGGAATTCAACCCACCCGCCGCCGCTGCCCCTTTAACCAGCACCCACTAAATCACCTTAACTGGCTTCAGCTGCGTTCAATAGAAGAGTCGGTGGGAGAATAGAGCACCCACCCGTCGAGCAGAGCGGGGAAACTTTTATCTCCAAGACACGCAGATAGTCAAAAATACAGCTCAGCCACCAATAGATGGGCTCTTCGCCGCCTCTGTGAGCCAACGCAAGGAGAGAAACTCTTGGTTTTCAGGGGACACCCCAGGCAACCTCGTCCCCGGAGAGGAAGCATAAAAGTCCGCCCTTGCCGCCTCCACATGGACATAATCCTGCCAAGGCTGGGCTCCGATGACCTTGTCCAAACGCACAGCTCTCAGTGTCTTCGTTGATTATCTCCTCCGCACCTCTCACTCATCCCCAGCGATGCACCACCGCGCTCCTCCATCACAATGAGGACGGGCGCGCAGCCGCTCGTCTCATAAGCTTTCCACGTGTTCCCGCATAATACGCGATCCCCATAATCTTCTGGTTTTCGATAACACAACGATCGATTTAAGACAGGAGAGGCAACTCGCACAGAAAACAGCGGCGCGTATTCTGTAAAGGCATCTGGAGTCTTAAGGAGCGCTGCGTGTCTGCCGTTGGAAAGACAGGAGCTCTCCACCTCCTCCCCTCTCTCCCCCCCTCTCTCCATCATCATTTGCAATATCCACTGCCCCGCTCGTCCAATAGGATCACGTAGTGCACAAGGCGTGCGAAAGCTTTGAGCTCCCATACGCCGCAAACAAATAGCTGTGGAAGAGGCCACACACTATACATCATCTCCGCGCCAGGGTCACGGAGAGGCGGCGCAGGACTGAACATCATACCTGTGAGGTGACTTATGACCGGACAGGGTCCCGGGGCACGCGAGGGGGGATGTGTTCGAATCAATCACGGCTGACAGCGGAGCACCACAGACAAAGCTGAGCAATAAACGCAATTCAGTTTATGGTTCCTCAGAATAACTGAGATGAGCTCCAGAGAAGTGTGAGACTGTTCTGTGAAAGATTTGCATGTTTTATGTCTGTGAAGGTTCTCACTCATCCAGGTCATCGTAGTCTAAGGAGCTTGGAAAGAAAAGCGTCTGGACTTCTTTGAGTTGCTTGAAGACGTTTCACCTCAAGTTTGCATGTTTTAGTTCACACCTCTGCAGATTAGTTCTTATTATTAACAAGTACAGCGTTTTAGATCCAGTTTTCCAAACCTAATGTTGGTGGGGTTTTGTTTTTTTTTACTTACACATGCCTGAATGCAAATCAGTTGGAGCAAAATTTCTAGGGTTTTACTGGTGAAATGTGTAAAGGTACTAATAAGACAGACAAATGGAAAATAGGCGAAGGCCCTTGAGGAAATGGGAGTAGTTAAAAAGAAATATCAAAAGTTAAAAGAACAGAAGCTTTTACTGCATACTCACTGGTAACAATGCCCCCGATGGTGAGAGTTTTAGTGGAAATTTGGAAAGGGTATTTACATAAAGGACCTTTAAAAATAACAAAGCAAGTGTCACATGCTGAAGTTGGTTAAATATCAGCCAAGGAGATGTTTGTCAACTCGGCAGCCTAAAATATGTAGAAAGCATTTGAGTTACTTTAATGAACATAAAATAAAAGCTTTATTGGTCCTGAAAGCTGGAAATTGACTGTGTTACAGCAGCTAAAATATGAAAAACAACTTGGCTGAATAAAATAAATATATCACAGAACAAATGTCTTAAAAAAGGACACTAGGGAAGAACGTTATTTAAACAGAATATTTCAAAGAAAAAGCTCAATAAATCCACATTTAAATGTGTTACAAGAACGAGATTAAAGCTAAAATAAATGACAGTATGTTGTTACAGTGGTAAAGATATTTTTGTCTTTCCAAACATGTTTTATCAGAAAATCGATGATCAAACATCACAAATGAGGACTATAGACGTGCTGCCACCGAGTGATAAATGCCAAATCTGGAAAATGTCAAGATAAAGAGTAAGCCGAATGTATGAGATTACTCTCAGAACACATAAGAGCCGATGATGGGTGGCTGTAGATCAGGAGGTGGAGCAGGTCACTGGCTACTCCATACCAAATATCCTTGGAAGGATACCAACCAAAGTTGCTGTCTGCTGTATGACTGTGTATGAATGCTAGATAGAAAGGACTTATATGGATGGGTGAGAATGAGATAAGTTGTATGAAGCACTGAGTGCTCAGAGTAGAAAAGCGCTACATAAGAACCAGCTGCCACATTGTTGAGCTCAGCTACATTTTGGAAAATGTGGAAAGTTCTAAAAAGCAGGACATACATTTTATACCTTTAACGGTCTCTTCATCCGTTTCAATCTTCTTACTGACAGATGTAACCCCATATGCCAGAGTAGTAGATAAACCATTAAGTGAATGGAGGTTGTTGGTGTTAGTGTTTAATAACAGAAATGTTCCTTTTCCACCGTCTTTAACACCATTTTCTGGTGGTGACAGTTGTTTTGTTTTTTTTAACTTTAGGATAAAGACCTCCATTTCTTACAGTGTAATCCCAGTCAGTCCATACTTGCAAGTTGCTTTGATTTTCCACAGCAAGATTTCTTTATAACATTGAAAAAAATAAAATAAAGACCTGTTGCTTTAATTGCACTTCTTTATCTTTTAAGAGAGCTCAGAAATTAAGCATGTATTTAAACTTTTTTACAATCAAACTAAGGTGAACAGTTTAGAGCAAATAGCTTCACTGAAACTGAGTCCACGACATTAAAATGAGTGTGACACTCCTGGACTGACCATAAATAGTGGAAGTGATCTGGATACATTTAAAAGAAAAAAGAAGAAGAAAAGAACTGAGTTTAAAAGAAGGGATTTCTCCTCCCAACACTTCAGAAAATCTATTTAAGAGATAAAATACTGTGATTACTTCCCTGCTAGTAACACAAATTACATTTGTGATTTGGTAGTTAATGACTGTGCTCTCATAGAGAGGAGACGTTTACTAAAAGACAGTAAAGTAACAGGATCAATATTATGGATCATTCATTACAGCAGCAGAAGAAAGTCTGACACTGTTCACAGCTTCACTTTGCTCTGGTTAGTGATTTCTGTTGACCTTATGATTCACGCAATCAGAGATCCGAGCTGAGAAGTGCTTGTGACCACAATTGGATCATGCAGAGGAAATCTTGGTTAAGCTTTCCAAAGCAGGTTGGACTTTCAGGAAAAGGAGGGTGCACTCTGACGGATAAACCTCAGATTTCACTACTGGAATCAGGCTGAGCACAACTGAGCCTGTTGACTTCTGTGTGCAAAGCTGCGGACACTGTTCGGTCAACAACACCAGAGCAGAGCTGTGGCGCCCAGAGAGAAAAGCGCTGAATGCCGCAAAGATCATCAACGATTATGGCGTGTGTGTGAAAACGGTGCACATCGATTTCCAGGTCCCCGGGGGAGGGGCGGCAAATAAAACTGAGATAATGTTTCACATCCTTTAACACTGGGACTTCAGCATCAACAGGAAAGGGGGGAAAAAATCGGCATTTTTAAAACGGAATCTGTGACAATATACAACTACTTAAAAAAAAAAAAAAAAAACCACACACACGTGAATTAATCAAGACTTTTAATGGTTCTTCAAATGATGTACACACAATGAAAAAACAAACATCTGATTAAACATCTGATTTTTTTGTACAGCATGTCATAAGTATCAGCTGCATCACACACAAAGACACACACTCAGAATACACAGCCTCCGTGCTGATCCTGTAGAGCCGGTACAGTCTGTAACAGCTCGCTAAAAGGAATCCAATTAATCAGCGGAGCCTGCAGCTCAAACAGAGACGCCGCATGTTGATCCAGCTTTGTTTTAGCGAACGCTGCCTGCTACCTACATGTGCGCTTGTGACTCAGAAGTGTTACAAACTATGGCATCAGCTGTTTTGCTTTATTTTCCACCTGAGCCTTCATGTCAGGTAAGGCGTGGACCTCGAGAGAGCTGCAGCGTGGATACACGGAGAGCAAAGTGGCAGAGAGCCCGGGGTGGCCGGCGCTGCTGACGCAGAGAGCGCCGACACTTATGAAACTCTCGCCACCTGAGCCTCTCTCCCAGTTTGCAGCATGTGCGCTAAACAAGACTACGAACAAAAATTTAACCATGGAATGACCGAGTAAGAGAGTAGTCCGAGGACAACTGCTGCTAGTCTATAAAATGTTGCGATGTTGATGAAAAATTAAACACGCAGTAACACACAGTTTCCATGCACACGGAAACACACATTCTGCTTTCGGGGACAGACGACGAGCCCCTGATAACCAGACACTAAAAGAAAACTATAAAAGACAAAAACAATAGTGTAATGGTTTTTTTTTTTTAGATGTAATTATGTGGTTCTATTAAGATCCAGAGAGAAGCTAAAATACAGTCAAAGCCTCTCCTGTCTGACATCTTAATTGAAATTAACCCCTAAATAAATATGGTGAAAGTGATGATTCACCTGCTGATCACAGGTGCTAAAAATAGACTCCAATATATATATATGAGCGAGAGAGAGAGCGAGAGAAAAAAGCAGGGCTTGAAAATGATAAAGAAGCCTCATGCAGAGAAACATTCACGGCCGTCTGCCCCCCACCCCAAGAAACAAATAAAGATTGTTTAAGGATGGCTCGGACAGGGGAGAACAGGGGATGATTTCCTGAAACCGAAGCATGTGGTGTGAACAAAGATGGGGACAGGATAAGGGCAGCCAAGAGTGAACCACATCTCTCTGCAGCATTGGAGGGGAAAAAAGGAAGAAAGCAAGCAAGAAAGGAAGGGCCGATAGACCCATTAACCATCCTGATGAAATGGTTGGGTAACATGAGGACCGCAGTGTCCCGACCGAACGCAGCGGGAAGCGGCTCCCGGCACTGCGTGAGGCTGTGATGTGGTTCGTGGGTCAGGCGAGAGAGAATGAGAGAGAGATGGTAGTCTGCAAGGGCTGCGGCTGGGTGGATGCACGGGCTTGTTTGTTCAGTTCTTCAGCACCGCCTCGTAGCTCTGGAACACCCACTGGGAAACCTCTGCAGCTCTGCACTTCAGAGAGACCTGAGGGAGACAAGTTAGGGTGAGCATGATTTGATTTATAAAGCAGTCTGTTGGCAGGCAGTGCTTTGACTGACGCATGAACAAAAAGCAGGTTTTTAAAGGCCTGCTGCGGGTTATATAAAGCACCTCAGAAAAGGCGATAACTTATTGTTTGATCTTAAATCTTTGCTGTTCAGCTGATATCTTCATCGGGCAACTTCACATAACATTTCTCCAGATTCCTGGATTTATGGTGAATAAATGACCTCATCTTTTATACTTATAGAAGATTAAATTCCTAATTTTCCACCTTATAAGGAAAAAGGCCTCAGATGACACCCACTCCTACCCCCACCCACATTCAGCCTTATAAAGCACAGACAGAAGTACACACAGAAACATAGATACATATACGCTCAGGAGAAAACAGAGAAGGCTTCTTCGCTCTTTGATGTCAGTCTCAGCTGGGAGAAGGTTTAGGATTAGATGGCGCTTCACAAAGTGCCCCCCCATCCTCCACCCCATCTTACTGCAATCACTCTGCAGATGTCACTTCCTCAGATCCAGAAATACACTATTTACAGGCAGCA